AGGAACAGTTCAACCGGCATCATGGAGCAACTGCGCGCTCATTCAGCGAAGGCCAGGGTGTTGGTTCGTGACTATAGCGTCAGACACCCTATGTGGACCCCAGGACTCATCCTTCGCCGGCGCGGTAAAGTGCTCTACAAGATTCAAGTTGGTCCAGGCAAGTGGATACGCCACGCGAACCAGATCCGGCCGACAGATGCGCCGATCCTGCCCACACGACCGAGTGAGCTGAGTCTAGCAATGCTTCTGGACACTTTGGATCTCGGCACCATCCCAGGAAGTCAATCAGTTGCTTCGTCAGAGGCCCAGTTTAAGCACGAATTACAACCGCGACGCTGACAGACAGGAATCCGCAGGCCAGTGAGGCCACTGCAAGTGAACCCCCGGCTTCGAAGCTAAATCAACAAACTTCAAGGGGGAGATGTTAGGCAGGAATCCACACGAATCCCGCTATACCGCACATCTTTAGGCGCTGCTATGGCCGAGAAGCCTGGCCCGCTCGAGGTTGGCCCAAAATTCGGGACGCTTGCCNNNNGAACAAACACTAGCTTGGGAGGCTCAGGCCGAGAACTAAGCCGAGGAAAATGTGGTTACTACAGATAGAGAGGATGTTCCCGGCTCCTCACCACTAGAACTAAGCCGAGGAAAATGTGGTTACTACAGATAGAGAGGATGTTCCCGGCTGAGCCCTCACCACTAAAGTGTGTGGGGTCTATCAGCACGGTTGTCAGAAGCAGCAGACAAGAAAACTAATGACTCACTGCCGTACAACCACATAAGTTTCTTTTAAACATAAAATAGAAAGAAGACATGGGGGAAGAAAGGGGTTGCGACCAACCGACCACAAACATCAGAAATGCCTACAACTCCAACACTCAGACAATCGGAATAGAAACTGGCGGAGTGAACGCCATTAACACCGGTTAGCCGCCGTTCGTTTTCTCCAGCTATATACCAGGGAGCTCATGCAGACCCCATCAACCCAGCTATGTTTCTGAGATACACGTTTTGAGAGAGCTCAAGATGTCTCATATGCTTCGCCGAAGTGGCCAACTCTCGCAACCGTACAACAGTAGGGTTCGCACTATAATATGATATATGCACCCACTGAGACCCAGCGGCATGCCTTTTTAGCGCCATAAATGGGCAAACACATTTCTAAACTTCGAGATCCGTGCGTTCACTTCGTCCGTCACACTACTGCGAAAGTTAATACACCTTCCGAGGTACGAATATCGTCAACTTTTAGTGTCAGTTTCGAATATTTGGAGGCATATTCAAAGGCTGTACGACCCGTAGCATGACTTCGTACTCTGTGAGTGCCAAGCGCACGCCGAAGGACTGGATGGTCTGGATCAGCTTTCCTAGTAGCGCTTGCGCTTCCTGCACAGAAGGTACACCGAATAGGCAATTCGTATAAAAACGCCAAGGCGCCTAGGCTTAACTTTTTTAGTGCCAGAAATAACGGAAGTATTTGAGGAAATGTTGAAAAGTGGTTATGGAGTCGTCGGGTCCCCTGGTCGTATTTCGGTGGTATTGGTGAGAAGGCTGAGTCACGTAGAAGGACAAAGCCCATTTTCACTACCACCGACCGACGATGCACTCATATGCTAGCAGAAAATGAATATTTTAGCACGCCCGATCCGTTGTCCGATCAATAGATGCAAAGGTGGAATGAGAAGTTAGGCCAAACACAGTCTTTTCGGGGCATTCAAGGCTATATGAGCTTCGGTCAATGCAGAACAAATTGCAAAACCTTATCCCCGTAACTGTTTGGTAGGCTTGAAAGACGTCACTATCCAATGACAAGTCCCACATAAGCACTCCATCAGACTGGGGAACTCACCTTCAAGACTTTGCTGTCTTCAACGAGGAATGGAGTGCAGAGACAGCCAGGATAAAAATGGAAAAGACTGAGGGCCATGAAGCTAGGTTTTATTTATCCAAAACTGTGACACTGAGAGATGAAACGAGAAAAAGCAATTTAGCAATGAACGATCAAAACGTTTGAAAAACAGAGCAATCATACAACAGCCCTTTAAGTACCACTTCATATGTCAATATCTCCAGTGATTGGGATTTCACCAAAAATATGCACACCCATCCGAAAAACTCAAGCGGCTATATGGCCAAGGCTACAGAATCCAGGGGAAATGCGCAGCTTCAGGAAACTTATATTTAATAAAAGAGATTCATTGAGGATTTTGCACGCATGTAGGAACAACTGTACCAACTGCGTCAGAAACACATGTCGTTCAATTGAGACGTACAGTGAGCTGATAAACTGAACTGGATCAGTAAAAACTGTGCGGGTCAATGCGTTGTTACGGTTGGAATAAGCAAAACATAAAGCGCCAAAAACACGAGAAAGACCTGGATTGGTAAACACTAAATCCAATGTTTATCTTCGACTGAGGGGACTATGGTAGACTATGAAGGATGGTAGCTGAGCGTCCACGAGATCGGCGCACACAAATGGTGATGGTACACTCAAGGGATTCTGAGTTGGTCATATATGTACGGCAACAGTGCGGTAGATAGAAGTTTTTGCAATAAGGCGGCTAAATTGGTTACTTGTGCTCTGGACTGGCCTGAGACTTTTTCGAGACCATGCCAGGATTCTATATAAGCCGATGCGAGTGTAGAAAGATTCATTCTTCACTCATTTCCTGTGCGGTGCGAGTCTCCGCGAAATGTCGTTGAACGCATTTGCCGATTCATTAGATAAGCTACCCGTTATACTTGCGGTGATAAAAGCTTCGGTTTATAGCAATCTAACTACCTTGGAGTTCGCAGCCCTGGCGCTCAGTGCGTTGAAACCATGTACTTCATACTCAGAAATGTTGTCAATTATTCGTTTGGAGTTTTCCGACTCCACAGAACGCATCGCCGGATAGGTGCAATGCGACAGGGCAGATTCTGCAGTACCCTCCCGATTGTGAGTGCCATTCGTTCATGGAATTTAGATCCAAATTGAGTGGATCCCAGCGGAAAAGGGAACATGTTACATCTACCGACATGGTTTATCGGCTTTTGAGAATGGACAGAAGCCAGGAGAAGCACCTTTGGAATCCGTCTGTCACGTGCTTATGGTCTAGAATTGTGTGTGGGAACGATCACGTTGGGACGCACGCAATTGTGATTGTCGATATATCGACTACTGTCAGTAAAGTGATCCAATGCAACCATATTCGGGTACACACATTTCGTACATGCATTTGTGGCGACGGTTGCCTCGTTTGTTTAGTACTCACATGACCTGCGATAATTAAACTGGAAAGTGTAGTCAAACGTAGAATCCGGTGCCTGCCAGTGTGGTTTATATGTACGTATTGGTGTAATTGTCGTAAAATCCTATCTTCGGAGAATCACCGTCCACGATGCTTCCATAGCTTGCATGCTATATCAAGCAACCACCTGTTGGACCAAAAGTATGAAAAAGTCATTTCTCCTTCAATTGCGGTGTCTCAAATCGTTCATAGAGATCGGTGACTGACCGGAAGAACTATGGAATCACCATAACATGCGACGTCCCTCGTATATCAAGCGGTAAGCTGTGTCGCTCGCATAATCCTGTTGGCAACCTGCAGAGTATCCGGTGGGGGGCTGTTGTGCCTTGCCGACGGTAGTACAACTTCTGTCGGTTCTGGGCCTCCCGTTTTACCCACTAAGATATATCAAAAGGCATGGTAGCTTGAGACAAAGAATTATTATTACAGGGTTGCGCTGAGATCTTCCTCAGGCTGGGAAAGCATCGAGGTGCAGATGCTCGGTGCAGATTAGCTGAAATTCTGACCAATCAAAGGAGGGCTTCGTTTAGTCCGCAGTCCGGACATCACATCTGTCCAATCCGGGTAAAGTTTGACCATTGGGAATGGCTGGTCTCTGGACACCTGTCCTTTGAGGATACTGTTCAACGGATCGCTGCTTTGAATTCAGTTAAGGCTACTGTGAGAATTAAGTTTCGTACGTGTATCGGTATAACCGGACGAACTAGAAATCCAGAATTTAGCGAAGCGTAACAACCAGCACGGAGGTATTCGAATTGGCGAATATGTACAGCATATAGAATATTAAAACAAGAGAATAATGAATAGAGCAATGAATAGAGCATCAGTCATATTCATCACATCCGCCACACCCTGAATGAGCGTGTGGGTGTTTATAGTCCAGTGGTGGTCTTGACCGCAATCTTTCGGATGTTCTCGGAATGGAAACTGCAGACCTTTCAAGGTAGTGCGTTCCTCAGATACGTTTTTTTCGGATACCATACGAGCATCTACGAAGGACTCATTAGTATTTGAAACAGCAGGAGTGCCGTTAACAGAGTGACCTCTGGTATTGAACTCAACCTGGTCAATGTGTCTGCGGTGGCAGGAGAGATCATCCAAATAGAGAATTGTGACCATTCGTTTGCCAGTTGATGAAGGTACTATTTCTGTAGCAGGTCGTAAATCATTACCCTTGAAAAATGTAACATCAGCCGTTTAGGCACAGTCAAGACTTGCACGCAACGAACGAGATTTAAATAGAAGCGCGGGACTCTTCCCAGTAACGGAATGGGCGGCGTTCCTGTACTGCATTAGAAAATTATCAATCCCACGGTCCA